TTAATAAAAACTTTTATTACTTCATATCAACTTTGTTAATTTTGTCCTTAATTTTAAAATTTGAATAAATAAATCAACAAATTTTAAAAATTGTGAAAATTAAAGCAGCAAATTGTGACTGGTTGTGGAACATCTACTATTGGATATAAACGTGATTTGAAGACATGGGAAATGCTTCGTGATGAATGTGCTAGTTTCCTTGACTCATGCAAGACATTATCTGCAGCTAAAGTTGCTCACGCTCGAGTCAAGCCCTTCCTCAAGCCCAACGATGTTTTCATGCACAACAAGCTGATCAAAATGTATGCGGAGTGCAAGGGAGCTGTTGAGGCACTCCAAATCTTCAATGCCATCCAACACAAGAATTCCTTCTCTTGGGAGTTCATGTTGTTGGCATACACACGCAGCGGCCATCTAGACCATGCTAAGAGATTCTTTGGTGCAATCCCAGAGCCGAGCTTGATCGCGTGGAACATTTTGGTCGTCGCGCTTACCCAAACAGGGAATTTGCTCGATGCCAAAGCAGTTTTTGACAAAATGCCCGAGAGGGATTTGATCTCGTGGGCGAGCCTAGTTATTTTACAGGCCAAGCACGGGCTTCTTGAAGAAGCCAGCGAAACGTTTTCCAAGATGCCAGAAAAGAATCTGGCATCTTGGACGGCCGTTCTCTTGGCATATGCCCAACAAGGATATATAGAGGAAGCTAGAGCAATCTTTGACGATATTCCCCAGCGTGACCTAGTAACATGGACTGCCATTCTAGCTGCATATTCTCAAAACAAAGACTTTGAGGAGGCCAAAGAAATTTTTGATGAGATGCCAGAGAGGGATTTGCCAGCATGGAACGCCATGCTAACAGCATATGCCCACAACGGGCATCTTGAAGATGCAAAAGGGATATTTTGTGAGATGCCACTCAGAAACATAGTGTCGTGGACTATGATGGTCACTGCGCTTGGTCAAAACGGGGACGTCGACGACGCCAAATCTACATTTGATTCTATGCCACAATGGAATCTCTTTACATGGAATGCGCTTCTTACAGCATATGCCCAAAACAGTCTTCTCGATGATGCCGAGCGAGTGTTTCACGACATGCCTGTACATAATCTGGTATCTCAAACTTCTATGGTATCGGCATATGCTGGGCAAGGCGACATGTCCCAGGCTAGGAAACATTTTGACAGCATGCCGGAAAGGAACCTTCTCTCGTGGAACTCACTTCTTTTCGGATATGCCCAGGTAGGGAATATTTCTCATGCCAAGCAAGTGTTCGACCAGATGCCTCAAAGGGACGTGATTTCGTGCACGGCTATGCTTTCCGCATATTCGTTAAACAATGACGTAAAGCTAGCAAAGGAAACCTTTGAGAAAATGCTCAGATGGAATTTAGTGTCCTTGAACATTATGCTGTCCGCATATACCCAAGCTGGGCAATTGGAAAATGCCAAGTGCTTGTTTGATTCTCTCCCCCAAAGAAATGTGGTATCCTGGGATACGATGCTGGCGGCATATTCTCAGGCCGGGTATCTGGAAGAGGCCCAGAGGATGTTCGATTCCATGCCCCAACACATCCAGGTCTCTTGGAACACGCTCCTTTCCTCGTTTACTCACTGTGGCCTTCTAGAGCGAGCACTCATCCTTCTCTATGAGATGCCGGAGCGCGATTCGATCACTTGGAACACCATGATCGTTGCATTCGCGCTGAGAGGAAATCTCCCGCGAGCTTGCAAGATCTTCAATGGAATGGAAGAGCAAAGCCTTGCGTCATGGAGCGCAATGCTGGTTGGATACTCGCACAGTGGAAATCTCTCCCAGGCAATCGACCTGAGCGACGAGATGAAGATCAGGGGCGTACCTTTCGACGAATCTTGCTTCGTGTCTCTCCTAGTTGCTTGCAGCCGCGCTGGGAAGCCAGATCTTGGGAAGTCCTACTTCTCAGCCATGGCGGCGGATTTCGATCTCCAGGCCGGGAAGCAACACTACAGCTGCCTGATCGATCTGCTGGGCCGATCGGGGCACCTGGAAGAATCGCTGGAGCTGGTGTCGCGAATGCCATTCGTGCCCGATCTGGTGGATTGGAGGAGCCTGCTCGCTGCTTGCCGGAGCCATTGCGATCGAGCGAGTGGATCTCGCGTGCTGGAACAAATGCTGGAAATTTGCCCTCGCGACTCCTCCGCCTACGTGCTCCTCTCGAACACCATCAAAGGCGGGATGGAATTGGCGCGAGATTTAAATTAGCGGTAAAAACCTGTTGAGTAAAAAGGATTTTTCACCTGGATTCGTGCAATCACGTTTTGGCATTGTCTCGAGATCTTGACGTCCATCTACCACCGGATCGCGGCTTTTTTGAAGGATATTCGTGGCCGAGCTGGCAGCATCCTAGCCACGAGCAAATGATCACTGTGCATTGGTCCACGTGTCTCTCGTACAGGCTTTTCACATTCTTACGAGGCATTGGGGTTTAGATAGCTCGCTCATTCCAGGGGAGGAGGAAGATCGATCCACAATCGCCATGGCTGCTGGGACTGGGCCATTCGAGGAGATCATCGACGGCGGCGTCTACAAGTACTACGCGGATGGCGAGTGGAGGACATCGTCGTCGGGCAAATCGGTCACGATTTACAACCCCTCCACCCGGGAGGCGCAGTACAAGGTCCAAGGTGGGATTATGGCTCTTGCTGGTGAGAATTTCGGTCGATCTGTGTGGGATCTCGCGCAGCATGCACGCAAGAAGAGGTAAACAAGGCGATTGACAGCGCCAAGGCGGCGCAAAAGCTGTGGGCAAAGGTACCGCTGTGGAAGCGCGCGGAGGCGCTCCACAAGGCGGCGGCGCTGCTCAAGGAGCTCAAGGATCCCATCGCCGAGTGCCTGGTGAAGGAAATCGCCAAGCCTGCCAAGGATGCGGTCTCGGAGGTATGAATCTATACTACTTTTACCTTTGTTTTTTGCTGGATCTCGTGGTACACATTTGTTTATATGAATACCATCCACATTGTTTTCGTGGCTACAGGTGGTTCGATCTGGAGATCTCATTTCATACACCGCGGAAGAGGGTGTGAGGATTTTGGCGGAGGGCAAGTTTCTAGTCTCTGACAGTTTCCCGGGCAATGACAGGACTAAGTTATGTCTCACTTCAAAGGTGGGAAATAGCTTTTTTTTCTTCCTTTGTTGTGTACTTATATGTTTAACTGGCAGATCCCTCTTGGAGTTGTCCTGGCCATCCCTCCATTTAATTATCCGGTGAATCTCGCAGTGTCTAAGATCGCTCCCGCTTTGATCGCTGGAAATGCTATCGTGCTGAAGCCGCCCACGCAAGGGGCTGTTGCCGGCTTGCACACCGTGCAATGCTTCCATCGAGCTGGATTCCCGAAGGGCTTGATAAGCTGTATAACAGGAAAGGGCTCGGAAATAGGCGACTTTTTAACAATGCATCCTGGGGTCCATTGTATAAGGTATGTCTTTGATACTGTCTTCGTGGTCTGGACTGAACGGTGTTCTTTTTTGTGTAAAGCTTTACAGGTGGTGACACTGGTATCGCCATTTCCAAAAAAGCCGGGATGATTCCACTCCAGATGGAGCTCGGTGGAAAAGATGCTTGCATTGTTCTAGATGATGCTGACATTGATCTTGCTGCTGCTAACGTTGTGAAAGGCGGCTTCTCTTACAGGTGTTCTTGACGTCGTCGACTTGTTTTTTACTAACTTTTTAACTCTCTGGCAGTGGCCAACGTTGTACCGCTGTGAAAGTAGTGCTCGTCATGGAATCCGTGGCCGACGATCTTGTCTCCAAGGTGAATGCGAAGATTGCAAAGCTGAAAGTAGGTGCGCCTGAAGATGACTGCGACATTACTGCTGTGGTGACCGAATCGTCTGCGAACTTTATCGAAGGACTCGTGAAGGATGCAAAAGAAAAGGGTGCAACGTTCTGTCAGGTTTGTTTGCATCTCTCCTTACCATTGCCAATTCTTAACCGAGTTCCTTCGTTTCTTTGCCTGTATAGGAATACAAGAGGGAAGGCAACCTCATATGGCCATTGCTGCTGGACCACGTTAGACCCGACATGCGAATAGCCTGGGAAGAGCCATTCGGTCCTATTGTGCCTGTCATCCGGATAAGCAGCGTGGAAGAAGGAATCCACCACTGCAATGCGAGCAACTTTGCGCTTCAGGTACCTACAGCTTTTCTACATTGATCTCACCCCAATCAACATGATTTATTTCCTTCGCAGGGATGCGTCTTCACCCGGGACGTAAACAAGGCGATGATGATAAGCGACGCAATGGAAACCGGAACCGTGCAAATCAATTCTGCCCCTGCCCGTGGTCCCGATCACTTCCCCTTCCAGGTAAGCAACAGGAGCCACGAAAGGAAGTTCAAAAAAAAAAACTCACACGACTTTTTGGCGTGGCAGGGACTCCGAGACAGTGGCATCGGCTCTCAAGGTGTCACAAACAGCATCGCGATGATGACCAAGATAAAGACCACGGTCATCAACCTCCCGGCTCCATCATACTCCATGGGTTGATCGATCGACTCGATCAACTCGAGCGAGCGAGCGAGCAAGGGGAGAGTCTGATCGATCCGAGATCTTGATATGGTGAGAGATACTCACATAACTCACTCAGGTTGCTAAATGTTGCCTAGATAATGATGAACAAAGTGTTGGTTTTCCTGGCCATGGAACGCGTTGACTATTTTTCTGGGCCATAACAGAACGCGCGTTGACATTTTCCAAGCCAGCGGATTTTTTTAAAGTTAAAAATCTCCGAGAGAATATTCTCGGGAATCTTTGGTGAATTCAAATGTTGCGTCGTTCTTGGATTGGTTGGTGATGACTCGCGGGCGGCGATTAGTGGTAGTGACAAACTTTGCAGGTAAGAAAAATCTGAGCGCATTGAATGGGGGAGTGAAAGGGGGCGGGAGACGGTCCACAACGATCAACGGGAAGAGTCAACGTGGAGGAGAGGGGAGAGTCAACGCCTGGATTTCCAAGCCCGTCTCGCAGCGCATCGCTTTGACGATAAATAGGGTTTCTTTCCAACGTGGATCCATACACGGCCAGCACAGAGCCTTGTTCTCGCGAATTGCATTGCATTGCCGTGCACTGTGCGCTTCTTCCCCCTTTTGCTGTGCTGGGCCTCGCTGTGCTTGCTTTGTTTTTTAATTTGGTGGGTCTACCACTCCACATTCTTCTCTCATCGATCACGTCTCTCCCTCTCTTTCCCTCTCTCTCTCGCGCGCCCGGCTCGCTCGCTCCCTTTCCATTCGGCCCTCTTCTCGGCCCCGTTTTCTTTCCTGGAGTTCTTGAGTTTTAACGCCCCGATCGTTGCCAGGAGAGTTCTTGGAGGAAAGCAGCGAGGACGCGCGAGAGTTTGCGTTGATGGGTTGCACGACCCACAAGCCCACCACGACCAATTCCCCTCTCCGGCAGCAGCAGAGGAGCGAATCGGTGCTGGAGAAGCGGGCAGTCGTCAAGGAGGTGACCGTGTCCACTGCTTCGGCTTCGTCTTCCGGCGATCACCCTTCTTCCTCGTCATCCACGCAAGCCGGCGATGGCAAGAAGAAGAAGATCTGGGTTACCATCAAGGAGCAGTACGAGCTCGTCGAGTACCAAGCATTGCCCGATTATCTGCGTGACAACGAGTACATCCTCAAGTACTATCGCGCCGACTGGCCGCTCAAGCACACGCTGCTCAGCATCTTCTCCGTCCACAACGAGACCCTCAACATCTGGACGTAAGTTTTCCCCCTCCTGTTCCTGTTCTTCCCGATGGTGGAAAAGGAGCATTTTGGTGGAGCTTCTCCACTTCTTCCGCTTTTTTCGATCGCTGTTGCTCAGAGCTTCCTCTCGACTGCGATGCAGGCACTTGGTCGGCTTCGCCATCTTCCTGGCCCTCACAATCTACGCAGCTGTCAACGTGAACGCGCCCAGCAGCAACTGGGAGAGGCTCCCTAGCGTGCCGAAGTTTAACAAGCTCCAGGAGGAACTCGTGATGAGCGGCAGCTCGTCTCTGTCGCTGCTCATGCCGAGAAGTAGCAGCAGCAGCAGCGTGTTCCACCAGCGGCCAGGACTTAATGCCTCACACGTAATCCTGGTAAGTTTCCAACTTCACGTGGCTCGATCCCGAATAGAACTGAACTGACCACCTTTGTCACTCTACCAGGACGAATCAATCGCGGCAGGCGTCCCAGTAGCACCAGCCGAGTTTGCGCGATGGCCATTCTTCGTCTTCCTCCTGGGAGCCATGACGTGCCTGCTAACCAGCAGCACCTCCCACCTCCTCTCCTGCCACTCGAGGAGCGTCTCCTCGCTAATGTGGAGGCTCGACTACGCCGGCATCGCAGTGATGATCGCTACGTCCTTCTATCCGCCAATCTACTACGTCTTCCACTGTCAGCCGCTCTGGCAATTCGTCTACCTCGCCGGGATCACCCTGTTTGGAATCGGCGCGGTCTTCGTTACCGTCATCCCCTGCCTCCACTCTCCCAAGTTCCGAATCTTTAGAACCATGCTCTTCGTCTCCATGGGACTGTCCGGAGTGATACCAGGAGCTCATGCGGTCGTCCAGAACTGGAACATGCCGATGTGCTTCGTCGTCCTGGGATACGAGCTCGCCATGGTGGTCTTCTACCTCTCCGGGACACTTGTCTACGCTGCCAGGATTCCCGAAAGGTGGAAGCCGGGGTTCTTCGACATTGCCGGACACAGCCACCAGATATTTCACGTCATGGTTATCCTGGGTGCTTATGCTCATTACAAGGCCGCGCTCGTTGTGATGGAGTGGCGAGCTAGCACCATTGGTTGCTGAGAGAGGACAAGTTTGTACACCACCGACAGCCACCATTCTTTTCAATACAAACGTATTGAGATTGCTCGTCAATCTGTCACAAACCAGAACCACATATGTCGAGAGAAAGATCTATGCAGTCGTTGTGATTTTACCTGTAAGTCAGTGCAGCAGCAACTAGCATTGCGTTTGTTAATGAAGCAAAGATAAAGCAAGAAAAGAAAAAAAAAGATATGTTACCAGAAAGAACTTTACGGCTGCCTGATTGAGGATCGCATAAGTTAGTGGATGCTTTGCCGTTTTCACACTGCTCACGTTTTGTTGGATTGGATTCCCTTCGAGCCATAGTACTGCCCTGTTGTCTGCTTTGAGAACTCAGCAAACGTACAACCTTTCTTCCATCTCGTCTCCAGAGGTGGTATCACACTGATCCTGTTATCCCCGCTGCCTGTTTCGTCACCGTCTTCCAGTGCTACTTGACAAGAGAGGGCCTTATCCCATGCAGGCTGCAAAAATACTACAAACGTCTCTCTGCTGGCTTCCGGGTCGAGCTGAGGCTTCACGACACAATGAGCGGTAGCGCGAAGCTTTCCACCAGAGAAAATCTGCGCAGCTTCTCCCACCTGGACCAAAACACTGCCATCCGGTATATTCACTGCAGTTACTGATCCCGTCCAACTATCCATCGCAACCAACGAGGAATGACTCTGTCCTACAGATCCGGAAGCGTTGATATACACCGGTGCTGTCAATACTGTCAACACTCCGTAGTCATAATGCCACTGTTGCCAAAACTCTGAGCCACTCAACTCCCTCTGAGCTGGATCCGGTCGAGGAAGCCTTTCACATTCAGAATGGTAGTGAATGAGCCGGCCTTTAGCTGTCTGAGAGCCCAGAATTGTTTTCTCAAGTTGCAGTCCCGGGAGAGCTGTGTCGCAGACCCGAGCAACTCTGACTCCCACGTCTATTAGCCTGTAGCCGAGATGCCTGAACAACTCACCCGTCTTGAGTACGAGCTGATCGGGTGTCCGGTCGATCTCGCTACGAGAAACTGGAAGCTGGGCGACAAAAGACGATACAAGTCTGTCCTTTCGCTTTAGTGGTACATCTGATCCCAGGAGATTCTCCTACGAAGGAAGGAAAACCAGAAGATCATAACGTTAGAAAATGAACGCTATTACCTTGAGCACTGACTTCCGATCTAAGTCGGGCATTAGCGCCAAAGTTCGAGCCTGAGGAAGAAGTACGCTGCGGAGGTACTCCAAGCCAGGAACGTTACGTACCGCAATCATCCCTGCACCTCCTAATGCTCTAACGACACGCTCCCTGACCCCTACATCACTTGCCGCAGCTTCCAGCATCACGTAGTCGACGATCTCGAGGGAGGCCATCAGAAGAACCCTAAGCCACAGCCTCTACGATGTGTATGGCCTATCTATCGTAGCCCATTCGAACAGCTGCTCGTACTTCGCCGCTGCTCGATCCCAAGAGTAGTCTTGAGACATAGCTCTGCGCATTATGCTCTTCCATGAATCTTTGTGGTGCCGGTATGTACCAATGGCCGTCCACAAAACCTGTAAAGTTGAGAAGTGTTGAGTTGCTTGTTTATCTTTGGAAGCGAAGCATGCTTACGTACCCCCAGCATTGCGTCCTTTGTGCAAGGATAGAACGTCCAGCTGCAACGGTGAATATAAGCACTTCTAAGTTTTAGACATAAACTAGAGCTTACCCCGTCCCAGCACCTTGGCCATTGTTTGCAAACGGATGGAAGTCTTCCACAGTATCCTGATAAAAAGGACAAGACAAGTTAGAGAGCTTAAAAACTGTAACGAGAGCTTACTCGCAGCCCGCCAGTACAATGCACAACAGGTATCGTGCCATATCTCATGGCATAGAGTTGAGTCAATCCACACGGCTCAAATCTTGAAGGCATCACAAGGATGTCGCACCTGCAAAAAGCCACGCACAAGAATACTGTTAGCTCCTGTAAGGAGACCGGGATGCTTTCAGGTACCCCGCGATAAGGCGATGAGTAAGAGGTACATTGAAGCCAACCCAGCCTCGAAACTTGTCCCTGTAATGCGACTCGGCCCATCGCATCCACGACTCCATGGCAGCATCGCCAGAACCAAGCATTACCTGATTTTAGATAGAAAAACATGAGTAGATTCTTAAAGAGAAATTAAACTAGCTACCATTTGTATATCGTCTGTCATCAATGCTGGTAGAGCTGCTTGTAGAAGATCAGGACCTTTTTGAAAGTCAAGCCGGCCAATGAATCCAATCTGGCAGCATTTGAAATTTTTATCAGAGATGCTACCGCAAAAACACTCAACGTAACACATACTTACAAGAGGAACATCGGGACGAACGGCCAGGCCCAGTTCCTTCTGAAAGCTTGCTTTGCACGCAGCCTATACAAACAATAGCTGAAATTAACGACTCCACAGACAAATCAATGTACCTTTCCAGAAAGATTTTGAAAGGAGTAGTGAGCAGCGATTTGTTTGTCACAAATAGGATCCCATTCCGCCATGTTAATGCCGTTGGTGATACCTGAATTGAACACAGTCTAAGAAAATGCACAAACATCACGTACAAACAGTACCGCTAATGACAATTTTTCGACTACGTAATAGCCCATCAAGACCATATCCTCCTTCAGACGTGGTTATTTCCCAGGCATAACCCTTCAACATGTGCTCCAGGCAAATTAGTCTCAAACAATGGAAATAACCAACCTCGCTAACGGTGACAATCCGATCAGCTGTCACAAGTCCACCTTTTAGATGATTTACAGCTTCCCCCTTGTCAAAGGCATGCTTTCTGGCCCAGGTTGGGAAAACCCACTCCAGAGCTCCATACCATTCAGGAGGAAGTCCGAGTTGAGCGTACGTCGTCCCTGGTTCACATCCCTATCATGACAAAAGCAAAGAAAAGATCGACTTAACAAGAATGCGACTTATAGACAACACCTGATGAGTAATGTTGTGAATAACCACTATCGAACGAGCTCCTAGATACACCCCGTGACGACGATATTTAGCAGCTAGCAGACTGAAAAGATAAATGCCTGTGAGAACTAACCAAAAATGTGGAAGTGAAGAAAATACATACACTGGCACAAGGCTTGCATGCCAATCGTTTGCAAGAAAAATGCAGTTGTCTCCGTAGATGTAGCCTCCCAACGGAAGAACAAGAGGAGCTTCACACGCGGCATAGCAAAGTAGCGTGTACCGAAACTGTATCAAGGCAACTGATACTCACTTCTTTAGTTTCGTGACATAAAAAACCAGCGAAAAGAACTGGAAACCTGGTTGTCTCCGAAAGCACCACGACCATCGCCGTATGGATTCCCTGGTCTGTGATAGCAACAATGGTCGACAAAGACCTGGAGAAGCACAAGCCAGGGAAGTTAGTTCATATGAGAAAAGAAAAGAATCGATTACCCAGTCAACACCGTCTTTGTACTCGTGAAAGAACGCAACTTCATGCTGTCCGCTGAAGCAGCCAATCCTGATACGACACTGAGCATCGTAAGCCCCAGAGTATCTATGATCCGTCACACCATTCATATAACGGGGAGAAACCACCATAACCCGATGGCCACGAGCAGCAAGTACCACAGGCAGTGAACCGCAGACATCACTCAAACCGCCAACCTTCGAGTAAGGAGCGACTTCGGCAGCAACAAAGACAATGTTATATGTCTTTCGAGCCTGTTGCTTGGATTTCCTGGTGCCGGCTTGAATTTGATGGCCTTTGTCATCCTTTGTTCCCTCGGAAGATGGTGGAACTAGATCGCTCACTGTTTGATCCATTGAGTCAGTATAGAAACCAGAAAAAGTCGTAAGTTCTACCTTTACCTGTGGCAGTCGTGGACGGATCGATGATCGTGATAGGGGGCAGATCTTCCTTCTGAAGAACCTGCTTGCTCTGCAGTAGCATCTTCAAGTCCGGTATATCTCCAGAAAGGAGATCGTTTTGGAGGATGGTGTCATTGGTTCCAAAGGAAAAAATCCGCTTGGACCTCCAGTTTGGCGAAGAATGAGCGCGCTGGGATTTCTTTCTCTCCTTCCTCGACCTGATGCTCCCAAACGCCGGCTGGTGCGTGACAAACGACACGGAAGAATCGGCGACCTTCCCATTCGTCACGGTCGAGCAAGACGATGCAAATCCGCTACTAGACGCTAGCAATGACTCGAGCGTCGACCAGTTCCAGAGAGCCATACCCTGTCAGGCCTCGATCCTCCTCTCTCCTTGCTCTACCTTCTTGCTAGCATTGCCCTCACCTTGGCGATCGCTCGGCGCGCATGTAGGATCGCAGCGCCGCGCTACAGCGATCAGTCGCCACGGATCAAGAAATATTGCCGCGCTCACAGAAAAGAGAGGCATCAAGGGTTTCTCTTTTGCTGAGGTGTAAGCATATCCTCCAATGCGGGGGGATCGTTTCATTTTATTCGTTAAAACTAGGCTGGCTTGCGCGTTGGCGACAGCCTCCGTCTATCCAAGCCATCACTATTGTTTTTCTTCAACATCGCGGTCTCGAGGCATGAAATCAGTGACTTTGGGTCGAAAATCGTACCTGATTTCTCGTCTTGAATCGAATCTACTACCACCTGCGAGAAAAAAAGAGAGAAAGTGAGCTCGAGTTCTAAGCAACATAAAATTTCCTTCTTACCACTTGGTTGATTCCCAAGGCCGCTAGTTGCTCTCTATCCACGGAAATGCTTCCATTCTCTGGCACCAGCAGAGTGTTGATATAAGCCGTCGGCTGCGAAACAAATACCAGGCTAGCATCGAAAAAACAGGAAGAAACTTGGAGACTTACTGGATTGTCGAGCGTGAACTGTGGATCACCGTATTTACGATTCAATGTGTCGCATATTGAGACGATGAAGTCCGAGGCGGACATGCCAGCGGTTTCTCGATCGTGAGAACCATTCAGCAAGAGAAGCTGTTCATCACGAATCAGAGAAACAAAAACTGTGTGTTTACAAACGGACCTTGGGACATGTCTGTTTCGCAATGCTTTCTCCTACGTTACGAAGAACCTAGTTCAAAGGTTACTAGATTAGCATTCCAGGCAGAGAACGCTGGGTTAGTCCAGACCATTAACAGTTTGAGGAAATGCGAGTTACCAGTAAGGGACATATTGACGTGTAGAGGGAACCCATGCCATACACAACTGCTTCTACATCGCTTATGCGCTTCAAAACTTCAGGATTTACGCAGGGAAATACCTGAAAGATATACTTGCGGTCCCAATCAGTGTCACCAGAGGCTATTTACCTCGTGTGAAGCGTTTGCGCCATCAGAAGACATGTAAAAAATACGTTTGATCGGGGAAGGAAGCGGAGGTGTGGAATCCCTGCCCTGCAAGCGTCATGAATTCACAAAATTGATGATCAAGTGAAAGAAGTGAGAGCCTCACCTTGTCAACAACATGACAGTCGTCCCCTCCACCTTCACCGACGCAATTTCTCTTGATTGGATGCGAAATTTCATTCTGTCCCCTCACAAACGTACCATCCTGCAACAAGAGTAAATTCAAAGAATCCAGCGGGAAGAACGTACTTAAAAGCAAAACTCACGTATAGCTCACATCCAAGAGTAACCCTGTCGTTGGTAGAAATCGCAGGCAGAACAATGCTATCCACGGGAATCTTCGAGACACGGGAATAAAGAAAAATAGCCGCGTCTAGGGACTGGATAAAAATTCTAGCCCCTGCAAAGAAAAAATTTCCTATGCTGCAAACAGCAAACAATTACGACAAGCTGTCTAAAAATCTTAAACATACCTTCCATTTCCAAAAGAGAACTTTTTTGTGGAATGCATGAGCAACTACAAGGTAGAAATGAGTCAGTCGTACAGAAGGAAATAAACCAATTTCACTCATAAGAGCTACCTGACTTTGAAAATACACAAGAAAAGCACGGATAGTTTCTCTGTACGGCTCCGACACTTCGTTCCACAGCTCATGCTCACCTTCAACTATTTTGTACCTGAAAAGATCAAATTTTTTTCGTCACAGACGGTAAGAAAATGGCCATACCACTCCGCTTTTGCGTCCGAGCTATTCACTGGCAAGCGGTAGCCAAGCAAACGCTTTACAGCCAATGCCTCAGAACAACTCTCATCGGAAAGCCTCAAGCACCTCGATCGGATATCACCAAGCGCCGGACCGCCTGAAACGCAATTGAATCATTCACTTAGCACAAACAGATTGCCCAAAACTCACATGCAAGAGCTAACCGAGTACACGAAGTATTTCGGACGTGCTCCCTCCATCGTCGGAGACTGGAAGTACGTGTGTGACATTGGTGGTCAGCCTCTTGAGCTCTTCTACAACACCATTGAACGCAGTGCCCCCTGGTATTCACAAAGAAGAGAAAATAGGAAGAACTCCTAAACTGCAGCTAATCAACTAAGTGACTTAAGATCAAAGCACGGCACAAGAAAACAAACCAAGCACAGCCACAAGCTAAAAGTTTGCTACTTGGCATCAACAGAGCAAAAGATCGAAAGAGAAAAGAGCGGATCATACCTGAGAAGACAAGCAGTGAAGGATTCTTTTTGCTCTCCTTGCTATCCAAGTTCCCATCCTCCATGGAATTGGAAGTAGCAGGCTCCAAGCTGCAAGCAATCACTGAAGGAGCCGGAGGATAGCCCCTCGCCGAATACAAGAGCCTGCCCTCTGGATTGGCATTGCTACGCGGGCCGGGCTCGCTGCGAGGCCGGATCTTGTTAGGCGCGCTCCTCCCCGGCGGCTGCTTACCGGAGGGGGATTGCTGCTCCAAGCTCCGCCTCACAGCCGCTACTGCCGCATACCCTAAAACCTGCTTTTTCCTCAAGTCCTGTGTCGTCGTTGCCTTGCCTGTCTTGGCTCTCGGCGGCGAAGAAGAATTCACTGGACCGATATTTCGCAACCCCCTGCTCACACTCCCGCCATGGGCAGCGCCACTAGGTCGAGCATCGCTGCTAAAGCCGCCGCCACTCCTCCTGCCGCCGCCGCTGTGAATCCTGGGACTGGGAGCAGCCGCATTCCCGGGCGCATCATTAGGGTTGGGGCTCCTGATCGCGGCGCCCAGCTTGAGCCCCACGCTGGCGCCGGGCATCGTTGGTGCCCGCGAAGAGATCATACATTCATCCTTTCGTCCACGCCTTGGGCGGCAACTAGATCCCGGAAAAGCCTCTTTAACCTCCGCCGTCGGATCCCCGAATCGGACGGTTGTCGCCGCGTCGCTGTCAGATGAATCAGACGGTTTTTTTGCTCGGATTCCGTTATGCCCAGCATATGCCATCCCCGGGAATATCCGAGAGCATCGTACAAAAACAAGTAGAATGCAAATCCATCCAAACCAAAGAACTATGAAAAAAGAAGAGAAAAACTTCCTCCTGTGTGTTCTCTCAATACGGTCGACTTCTGTGCCCTCCTCCACCGTCTCGTCTATCCGGGCCACCGCCACCGCCACCGCCGCCGCCACCTCTATATCCTCCGCCGCCACCACGACCGCTGCTTCTCTCGGGTCGCGGAGCGGATTTTTCCGCCATGGAGACTTTGATCTCGTTCCCTCTGAGGTTGTAGCCATTGAAGAAGCCACCGGCGGCATGGGCCGCGGATGGATCCTCGTAGCAAAGAACGCCATCGCCCTTGTTGTTTCCACCGTCGTCAGTGTAGAGCTTGATGTTCCAGGGCCACTGATCCTTGTAGCCGCGCCTTTGCTTTATCCTCGCGACCTGGCCGATGCCTCCAAACAGCGTTCTTAGCTCCTCGATCTGGACGTCCAGCGGGAGGTTCGAGATGTAAATCCGAGTGTTCTCGCACTTATCCCCGCAGTTCTCATCGCACTGCTTTACTTTCACTTCGTCGTTTCCCTGCTCTTCCGGATGGTGGTGCTGCCCGCCACCGCCGCCGCCACCACCTCTTCCACCACCACCGCCTCTATAGTTGTTATCGCCGCCATAGCCACGGCCTCTTCCACCACCACCGCCACCACCACCAAAGTCGCTCCCAGCATTTGCTGGCTTTGGACCTTTGCATTTGTTACACTCGGTCCTCTTCGCAAAGTTGACATTGCCACAGCTCGGGTTGGGACACAGCCAGTCTCCATCTCGGCCTCCCATGGGAGGACCTCGTGCGCCTCGGCCTCGGCCCCCATCTCCGCCACGGCCACCATATCCGCCTCCTCCTCCTCTTCCCCGTCCTTGCTCATACCCGCCTTCTTGCCTCCCAAATCCTCCTCCTCCTCCTCCCGGACCTCGTTGATCGTAGACTTCTTGTCGAGAAAATCCCCCTCCTCCTCCTCCACCCTGTCTTCCCTGGTCGTATGCTCCTGCGCCTCCTCCTCCTCCGTGCCTGCCCTGATCAAATCCTCCTCCTCTTCCTTGATCGAATCCCCCCTGTCTCCCCTGATCAAATCCTCCACCCCTTCCCTGCTGCTCGTACTGCCTTCCCTGCTCAAATCCCCCCTTTTGATCAAATCCACCTCTTCCTTCGTTTCGATTGCTAAATCCCCCGCCATAGCCACTGCTTTGGAAGCTCCCACCATAGCCCGGCGCCCCTCCTCCTCCTCCTCCACCTCCTCCTCCTCCCTGAGAAGAGAACGAACTGTTATCGTACCTCTCCGGGCGGGCGCCGCTGCCCCGGCGATCGTAGCCACCATCGCTGTAGCCGCGCTCGGGCGCCTCCATTCTCCGCTCCCGAAACCCTTGCCCTAGCTATAGAACCCTAAAGGATATTCCAGATCTGGGCGTTCATTTGCCCTAATATTTCCTTTTGCTTTCCCAAGAAAGAGAAGAAGATAAGCCTCCGGCCATGGCGACAACGCCTTGTTGGGCAGCGACGGCCCTCCCGAAATCGGGGCTGTGGGGATCTAGGGTTTCGATCGACGCTGCGCCGCCGAGGAATGCAGGTATTTCTTCGCGCCCGGGATTGGTAGTGGAGGCCCGGAAGAGAATCGAGGGGCGAGTGGTGTGCGCCAGCGACAATAAGACGGTGTCGGTGGAGGTGACCCGGCTGGTGGTGGATCCCAAGAGCAAGAAGCGGGTGCGGCGGTCCAAGAAGTATCACGCGCACGACGAGGACAACTCGTGCAAGCTCGGGGATTTCGTGACCCTCGCCATGTCTCGCCCCTACAGCAAGACCAAGAGGTTTATCGTGACGGACATCAAGGGCAAGACCATGGGCGGCGCCGCCACCACAGCGGCTACAGCGGTGGAACTGCCGCCAATGCAATCGCTAGTGGAAGGCGAGGTACTCTTCTTCGTCCATTAATTTTTTTTCGGGAAGCTTCGTCAACTAATGCGAGCTCGCATTTGCAGGGAGAACCACTGCAAGCGGCCGTGGCGAGTTGATGTACCCATGTAGAGAAAAGATGCTTTGGTATTGGCAAAGAATTCCAGGGTTTTGGGTTGACTGCCTTCGAGAAGAAATTCCAGGGTTTTGGGTTGACTGCCTTGACCTACTAGAATGCTGCTGCTGCTGCTGTCCTCTGTCTTTACCAGGTGTTTAATGACGATGAGTAAGTCAACTCATAGAAACACGAACCGGACGGGAACCTCTCCAAAAAGCCATACGGAAAAATCTTTATTATGTCCGAGAAGTTTTGTTCAGGGGTTAGAAACAATGTCGAATCTCGCTTTAGGTGAGGTCTCGAGTTGGGTGGCCAATTCGCTCAAAGAGTATCAACATTTGTTCGACTAGCAAAGAAGTCTCGGAGTGTAAGTCGCTCCCGACCTAATTCGATCGTTGTTCCCAACATAAAAGAAGCGTTTTTTGGGGCTACCTAACTTCGTAGTCGCGCCACCGTTTTTGCGAAGTTCAAAGCGGCGATCATGTGGGCTGGGCTCCGAGTTAAGGCACGAAGAAATCTGTACCCAAAAGAGGAATAAAATACGTATTCCTTGCGTACCAGAAGGTTCGACAAGTGATGCTTGTGGTTTTAGGCCTGCATTCTTTGCCTTGTATAAACTAATCCCCAGGAAAGGGAGTTACACCTTGACATTAAGCTACACATTTGCTTTGCTAAAATAAAGGTCGAGCGAGGATCATGGAAGTCAATGCAGTGAGTTAATGTCAACTTTGTGTCCATGTCCCATTCAATGCCAGCAGTTAAAGGTGCCCAAAAACGATCCTGCGTTGCGCCTTCATTGTTGCAGTTTTCGCAGCAGGCCAATGCCGCAAAAATGCCGCAATGCTTTTCAAAAATTCGAAACTGAAGCATATTCTCATGGCTCTAGGGCTGGAGGGCATTCCACAGAAGAGACAAAATGGATGATGCAACTATAAGGACGCGAACATCTCCATCAAATTCCCTGGAATCTCTTCTGCGCACTGCAGCGTTCCACCTTTGGGCCACCAAGGTACGGTTTCAATCGAGGAGAAAAGCGCGGTGTACGGACTGACCCTACCCTCCGCCTTTAAGGTGGTGGGGGTAGACGGACAAGCAGCGGCTCTGTTCTAGGGCTCACGGATCGTTTTGCCCGTTGACAGCGATGTTGTGGGCGATTCGCGCCGGGAAAATGTGGCTGCCGACCACGATTGCGCTAGCGCTGCGTAAAATCGAGCAGTAGAATGGGCAGTAGGGGAGAATGAGGACGCAGCGAGCGACTAGAGGACGAAATAGAACAGGGGGACTGTCGGCGAGGACGAAGAACGAGTGGTAGATGGAGTGATGCTGTCGCGCTTGCAATTCGATCCATCCATCGAACTTCTGGATCATAGCGCGCAGGAATTATGTGAGAGAGCTCCAGCGGTTCGCAGCTGGATTGGCAGAAAGAGGGCGGGCACGAGACGGTAGCAGAGGGGGGCCTTTCTTTGTCTGTCCGTCTCGTGCATTTGTATCAGGGATCAGGGAGAGAAGAAGAGGAAAGAGTTGGATTGATTGGAGAGAAATTTTCATGGCTTTCTTAGCGAGAGATGGGGACCCAGTGCAATAAAAGCTTCCAAGGGCGAGCTTTGCTTGTATTCTCAGTCTCTCTCGTTTGATCATCCTGTTAAGTTGGATTGGGAGAGCTAAGAGAGAGGAGGAGCTTACAATCGGTGATGGGGGATTAGTTTTTGGTCATCAATCTTTCCACCACCGCTAGCAACTGCTCCACAGAGAGAATGTTAGCTGGAGGAGATCGTTCTATGGCCCTATCCATCTCCAATTCTATGATCTCTCGCGATCAATCAATGCGCGCGGCGAGGGATTGATCCAGAAGAGCGAGAGCTGAGGTGACGATCTTGATGGCGAGAAGAAGAAGATCGCCATGGCCGGGGCTCTTGCTAGCGGTGGTGCTGTTGGTTCTTTCTCTGGGGCTGGAGGCGAGCAATCCCAATGGCACCGCGATTCGGGGCAATCTCGTCAAGCTCGGCGGCAATGCCAGATCTTTCCGGGGGAGAGGAAGGGGAAGCTCGCGGCTTCTCAAGATCCAGAAGCAAATCAACGCGATGAACAAGCAGCCGGTGAAAACGATTCGGGTGAGTGAGAAAATAGTGCTCATTCGCGGAGATCGAAATTTTTGTGAAATCTGTGCGTGTAGAGCCCGGATGGAGATTTAATCGACTGCGTGCTGCTGCGAAATCAGCCTGCATTTGATCATCCTAAGCTCAAGCATCACCAGCTCCAGGTAACCCGAGATTTTCTCTCCCCCTTTTCATCAATAATTTTTCCAGGAAGAACCGATGATATGGCCAAACAATCTGGCCAAGGAAACCAGCACCGAGCAAGACGACGTCAGCATCCGAGTGACACAAATGTGGCATCAATCCGGCAAGCAATGCCCTCGAGGAACAGTGCCGATTCGAAGAACAACGATCGACGACATCCTTCGCGCGGGATCGGTGAGGAGATACGGCAGGAAATTCCACAAGCCTCCCAATCCGAGCCGATCCAACTCGTCCGGCGCAGCTGCGAGCTTCCAGGCCAGCTCCCTGATGGCGATGCCCGAGGCAATGGATTCAAACGGCCACGAGGTAGAGAAATATCCCCAATTTCGCCAAGAACCCTAAATCTCCTTGTGTGTGTGTGTAGCATGCAATCGCCTACACGACTGGGCAGTTCTATGGCGCCCAGGCATCGCTCAATGTGTGGCGCCCGGACATCGATGTGCCCAACGAGTTTAGCCTCTCGCAGATCTGGCTGCTGGGAGGCTCCTTCGCGGACGATCTCAACAGCATCGAAGCTGGATGGCAGGTAATCTGGCTAGGTCGAATTTCCTTGTGATCGCGGATGATCTGTTTGACAGGTGAGCCCGGAGCTCTACGGCGACAGCAATCCCAGGTTGTTCACGTACTGGACGGTAATTCGCGAAATCTCGAGCAAGAAAGCATCGCGTGACGATTTTCTTTTATCCAGAGCGATTCCTACCAAGCCACCGGCTGCTACAATCTTTTGTGCTCGGGATTCATCCAAACCGGCAGCGACATTGCCATCGGCGCATCGATCTCCCCGGTTTCCTCCTACGACGGGCCACAATACGATATAAGAATCCTTGTCTGGAAGGTAACTTGGATCATATACGTTCCTTGGATCTTTGTGTGTTCTTCCTCTAGGATCCAAGAACTGGCAATTGGTGGATGAGGCTGGGCGATCGAACGCTCGTCGGCTACTGGCCGGCGGAGATCTTCTCACACCTCACGGACTACGCCTCCATGGTGGAGTTTGGAGGTGAGGTGGTGAACACCCAGCCGGATGGATCCCACACCGCCACACAGATGGGAAGCGGGAGATTTCCCTCTCGGGGATTTGCCGAGGCGAGCTACTTCAGGAACATTGGAGTGGTGGATTCGGACAACGAGCTGCAATCCCATCCTGTTCTTCAGACGCTGGCCGAGCATCCCAATTGCTATGGGATCGTCAAGGCTGGCAGCAGCGACTGGGGGCAGTATTTTTACTACGGTGGTCCTGGGAGCAATCCCACTTGCCGATGAAATTCATTCCTTCCTTCGCTCCTTTTTTTTTTTGCTTTCTCACTCTTTCGGTGTTGACGATTGTTTTGTTTGCACTTGGAGCTACTTACTCTATGTAGGAAGGATCCACAAATTTTTGCTGGTACGTCTTGTTTTTCCTCTTTATTTCTCTTTTTCAGTAGTCGTCTTCGCCATCTAATGGCTTCACTGCCTTTTGCAGTGGCAGTGGCAGTGGCAGTGGCAGTGGCAGCGGCTGCAGCCATAGCTGAGTTATAAGCAAGGACGCACACACCAAACCGAACCCTGTCACTGTAAGAACAACGCACAGGCTTAGCGAGAATCGACCAAACAAAAAGGCAAACTCGCCAGCAACGCCGTGCTATGCTACAGATTCTTCTTTTCTTCCCCTCGAAGAACACACACTCAACACCTTCGACAGGGAGAGACTCCATTCCAAAGAAGAGTCATAACGGTACATCCACTTTCTGCTGGCTACAAAGACTCATACTAAGCTGGTTATCAAGCAAAGCAACAGCAGACGAAACTTCATTATTCACAACCAACAAACCTGAACTATCACGCTCGGACGGAAAGAAGGAACATGTCATCCAGCCGATCGTTCGTTGCCGAGTTCCCTCCGTAAACAAGCATCGAATTCTCGAATCCAGCAGCAGCATACCATCCTCTGGCTCCAGGATGCTTTCCTTCCAGTCTCGGCTTCTCCCACACCAGCTTCTCCGTGTCAAGTACTAGCAGCTCGTCGGTGAACGCTCCAGCTCCAAGGTGTCCCAAGTCACTCGGATCCACTTCGCCTCCGTAGAGGAAGATCTTGTTTCCAACGCACGAAGTTCCAAAGACGCTCCGGCCGATCGGCTTCTGCAAAGAAGAGCAGGAAACCTGAACTTCTTCCCAGGTCTGGCTGGCGATGTCGAAACGATGGACGTCTGTAAGCTCGTCCCCGCAGAAGCCGAAGATGACCCACACAGCTCCATTGACGATTGCCAAGCCGGGACCTCCTCTCGGTGCCAGGGTCGACGACTCCGGGAGTTTCTTCCAGGTGCTCGACTCGATGTTAAACACCCAGAGATCGTTCAAACGGCCAGCTTTTCCGCAACCTCCAAAGGTATAGATGTTTTCGCCTTGTTTGTCCGCCGCTAAAGTGTGATAGCTCCTGGCAGGCAATCGAGCGAGAAGTCGTGAATCGAGAAAAGAAAAGATATGCAAACCTGTGAGGAGGACTCGTCTCTTCGGCTGACAAGAGCCTCCACTCGCCGGTCACGGTATCAAACGAGAAGAACTCGTTAAGTTCCTGGTGCTGCTCGTCCCGACCTCCAAACACGAAGATGGTGTTGCCAGCGGCGGTCATTGCGACGCCAACTCTGGCGCTGGGGATTTCTCCCCGCGACTCCGCCACTGCCCAGCTCCTCTGGCGAAGATCAAAGACATGGACCTTGTTATCGATGGGAACGCGAGGCTCAAACTCGCCGCCAAACACATAGGCCTTGGATCCCACCACAGCCACCGCGTGAGAGCTGCGAGCCTTGGGCGCTCCCTCCTGCTGTGTGATCTGGAAAGAGAGAAAGAAAAAATCCATTCATTCGATCTGCGAAAAGAAGAAAATGCCATCGCCTCACTTCTTCGCTCGAGACGGCTAAGCACGACATGGCCCCAAAACTTACTCGAGCGCCAGATAAACCCTCCCCTGCTTAAAATACTGCGGAAGAGAATATTCTCTTGGCTCCCTCTGTTAAACTTTCTAAACAACTTTAAAGCAGGGGAGGATTTATCTGGCCCTTGAGATAAACCCTTCCCTGCTTAAAAGGTGTTTTAAAACCTTAAAACAAAAGGAGCATATTCTAGAGTAATATTCTGTTTAAGAATAGTCTCCAGATTCTAAAATGCCCTAGACCTTTTGTTGGCTATGGCGGGGAGGATCGCTCGGCGATGCCTTGTCCCGCAACGCAATGCCGGCTTCGATCACCAGCAATGGCGCGGCGCCGCGGTGAGTCTAGCAATCTCCTCCCTCTCTGATCGCTTGCGCTGATGATAATCTCTCTCCGATTTCTCCAGATGCTCAAGCCGCCACAGGTGGACAAATACGAGGTCCTGGATCCCGACGAGGCGCAGCGCCTCCGCCAGAAGATGGAGCGCCGCAAGGAGGGCATCGTGGATCGCTACAACCGATCGCTCAGCGAGGACCGCAGCAGCAATGTGGGCTCCTTCCGCCAGCGCTCCGACAAGTACATGAGGCCCTTCTGCCTCGACGTCCATCTCTCGTCCAAGTATGTCAACGCCACGATCATGCACAGGTCGAGGGGGAGAGTGGTCGCGGCGGTGTCCACCAATTCCAAGGACATGCGCGCGATGCTGCCGTCGCGGTCGGACCTCTCGGCGTGCCGGATCGTCGGCGAGACGCTGGCGGATCGCGCGAAGGAGGCGGACTGCTACTCGGTGATCTACATCCCGCGGAAGTTGGAGCGGCTGGAAGGGAAGCTGGCCGCGGTGGTGGAGGCGGTGGCCAACTGCGGGATCAGTGTCTACCACGCGGACAAGGGGATCATGCTGGCCAGGAACTCGAGCCAAAAGTGACGATCGATTGAGCTGCGAAAGCTTTCCTTTATCAAAAGCTGGAGAGGTGGATCAAGATCATTAAGTTAGAAAGTCATCCCATCCGATTACTTGATCAAGAACACTTGGGTGAGAAACTGGGAGCTCGAGGAGCGATCGATCCTGTTATGAGAAACACCAAGTAAAGTAGGACGATCGAAACTTTCAAGGTTACGTACCAGTGTGAGAGGAAAACCTCGCTGGGATATCGCAAAGAGCACTTGCTACTTTTTGATCCTACCTAGAACTAAAAGAAGAATTTTTACCCGGCTCTCTGCTCAGCAAAATCTCTCGATCCATGCGGTAGACACTGATCCCACAGTCCACCAGCGAGTCGATCACCACTGCCAGCCTCCCCTCCACCCGCGATCCATTGAAGGCCACAGCGTAGCAATCCGCCTCCTTGGCGCGGCGAGCCAGGAGCTCGCCCGTGAAGCGGCACGCCGCCAGATCGGTCTTGTCCGGCAGGAACGCCTTCAAATCCCGGGAATTGGTGCCCACGGATGCCACCGTCGTGTGCTGCGCCCTGTGGACGATCTTGGCGTGGATGGATCGCTTGGGGAAGTCGATGATTAAGAAGTAGGGCCTCATGTACTTGTCGGACTCACGCCGGAAGGACATTCGAGTGCCCTGCGCGGCGGATCTGGCGTAATCCCTGGCGATCCTCTCCTTCTCCCTGGCCAAGCGATCGAGGCGCCGCTCCAGCTGCGTGTCGATCGCGCAGCCACCGTAGGGCGGATCAATGTCCATGTCGGGGGAGAGGATTTGCTGCGGCAGCGGCGGCGATCAAGCTGTGAGAATCTCTTGCGCTGAGAATGCGATCGGGGAGAGAGGGGAGCGCTCACCGCATTGCGCCGTTGCTGGAGAATGGGCGTCGCCGCGGCGTTGAGCAGCGAGCTTCTCCTCCAAACCGCCATAGCTTAAAACAAGAGCCCTAAAAAACGGTCAAGTCAATGTATCCGGAAAAGAAATGGAGGTGAGGGGCATCGATCCCCTTACCTATCGCATGCGAAGCGATCGCTCTACCATCTGAGCTACACCCCCTTAGGTTGCAAAAGATTAGCGAAATAACCTGTGCCAGCTTTTATAAAAAATTATCCCACCAGGTACGCAAGCTTCTAGAATGATGATCCAACACCATAGAAAATTTATCCCCACTCTCAAGACAAAAAGTACCTCCTACTCCTCCTTTTTTTACTTTTCCAGTGATTTTTTTTCCAAATGGCAGAAACAACAACCACAAGAAAATCTCCATCCACTTAGCAAAGATCTCGCAAATGAAGATTTGGCCTTTGACATGCACGGGTCAATCAATCCAACTGGAGCTGGCCGTTGGATGTGTCCCTTTCGAAATCCCGCCGCGTGGGAGTTCTCCGCCCGCCGGATGCGAAGGCACCCTACGGGCCAGATGCGTCGATACAGCCCAAATCTAAAATGCTGCCCTGCCAGCCTTTTCCTCCCTGTGCGCGTGTGTGTGTTTTGTGCGCGCTCGCATTTTTCCCTCTCTTCTGGCAGCCCTGCCTGGCCCGGAGCTGTGCGCCATCGCCTCTATTTTCTTGTTGCGATCGATCGGCCAAGCCGCGCGCGCGCGCGCTCTAGGTAATCGCGAATCCGATCGGATTCCCTCTGGCGACGCGCTGCAGCAGCAGGAAATTGACGCAGCAAAGCCGGAGGGGGATTGATTGCTTCGTAAATTGATCCATCCCATTGGTCGATTGATGGGAGCGCGTCCTTGACGAAGAATCGGCGCTCTTTCTCTGCCTGGCGCTAGCGATCGACAGGTATATTTTTCCCACGCCATAATCGCTTCCTAGGTTGAAATATTTCTTGGTTTCTTTGTTCTTTCCCTCTTCTCCTCTTTCTCGATTTTTCAAGGCTGCATTGAATCGATGATCTTGTTGCGATGACAACATCCCTGGTCAAGGATGCGGCTGGCATGGACAAAGTCGTTCTTCGCGAACCACTGGGCGCTACTGCTCAGGTTAGTTCCATTCTTCTTGTAGGAGAGGTTCTCTGTTTTAATTTTTCTTCCTTCCATTTTCTTTGGGAGTGTTTGCGTTTGCTGCTGGGTCTCATCACTGTTTGCACAGGTCCATCTCTATGGAGGTCAGGTGACATCATGGAAAAACGAACGGGGTGAAGAACTCCTGTTTTTAAGTTGCAAGGTTTCTTTTCTTTTCTGTTTTTTTTTTCATTCTTTACACAAAGGTGCTGCGGGACTTCTGAAAAGCTTCTTCGGTCGGTGCAGGCGATTTTTAAGCCACCAAAGGCCATTCGTGGTGGAATCCCCGTTTGCTTTCCACAGGTTTGTGCTTGAGTTGTAATAAGTTGCTCTAAACGTTTTCTCCTATAATTTGTTTGTAGTTCTCAAACTTGGGAACGCTGGAGCAGCATGGTTTCGCGAGGAACAGAGTATGGGCAATCGACACGGATCCGCCTCCCATTCTAAACTCGAGCGGTAGCGGGAGCTGTAGCAGCAACAAAAACAGTACAGTCGATCTTATCCTTAAATCCAGCGAAGATGCTTGGCCGCACAGGTACTCAAAAACTCCGCTTTATTCTATTTGTCTTTTGTCGAGAGCTGTCGACTCAAACAAACGTATGTGTGTGTGTCAACAGCTTTGAAGTGAGAATGCGTGTTACTCTAAAACGCGGGGGAGATTTGGCTCAAACTATTCGCGTCAGAAACACCAACACGGACAACAAATCTTTCAGCTTCACGATTGCTCTCCATACATACTTTTCCGTTTCTGACATCAAGTGAGGTCTTGTCTAGTTAAAGACTTCTAAACCGTAACGTAATTCCAGTGAAGTACGCATCGAAGGGCTGGAAACACTGGAATATATGGACAACTTGCAACAACGGAAACGCTTCACCGAGCAAGGGGATTCCATCACTTTTGACGGCGAGGTACCACATCTTTGCATCTTGAGGCTCTTGTCTCCGTCGACTAAATGTTTTGTTTATAGGTGGACAAAGTTTACTTGGGAGCTCCGACGAAAATCGCTATAGTCGATCACGAGAAGAAGAGAACTATTGTGGTGAAGAAGGAAGGCTTTCCCGATGCAGGTGCGCATTTCGTTTATCATTCTTTTAGATTTCTTGTAGATCTTTCTTTAGTTATGATCTACTGGGACAAGGAACAGCTAACAAGCGCTCATAATTCTCTGGTGCAGTTGTGTGGAATCCTTGGGACAAGAGGGCGAAAGCCATGTCGGACTTTGGCGACGACGAGTACTTACACATGGTTTGCGTGGAACCCGCGGTCATCGAGACTCCCATAACTCTCAAACCGGGCGAGGAATGGAGGGGCCGTCAAGAACTCTCGGCTGTTCCTTCGAGCTACTGCAGCGGCCAATTGGATCCTGGCAAGGTACTGCAGGGAAAGTGATCTTCTAACTGGTGGAATGGAAAGAAGTATCGACAACCAAATAGATCAGTACCTACATCGAAAACGAAAAAAAGAAGAAAAAAACACAAAAGGTGAGCAGGTTCTAAAAGTTTTTTTGCAGGCAAGTTACGCCTTCTTCTGAGCGATGAATCGATCGATCGATCGTACTTCCAACACTGAAAAGCCAAAGAAAAAAGAAAAAGAGTGAAGAGAGTTTGGTGCACTGCCACTACTGACGAAAGAGAGGGAAACGTATATTCGCAAAGAGGTCTTGTTCTTGTCCAGAATATTTTTCAACTTTTTTAGGTTTGTAGGAAGATATCGTGCCAACTTAAGTTACCCTTAGAGCTATTTTTTACACGACGACAAATATATCCTTTGCCACGTCATCATCGTTTGGATTTTAGGGTTTTGGGCGCAAATGGAGCTTGTGTTGTTTCGAAGGCGATGGATGGAGCTGGCGGCTTGCGTCGTGTGCATCATGGCCACGCTGCTCGTCTATGGCGTGATGCAGGTAGTGCGCTGCTAGATCCATCTCCAGTGAGACGCCTCCCTTGGAAATTTCTCGCAGGAGAGGATAATCCGGGTTCCCTACGGCTCCAGCGGCGAATTCTTCCAGTACTCGCTTTTTCTCGTCTTTTGCAACCGGATTTTGACGTGCGCCTTCGCGATAACCGTAATGCTGGTGAGGAACATCGATCGGGATTTTTTTCTTCTCAGAGGAGAGAGTTTTCATCGCTTTGGCTGTAGGTTCTTAAGAAGGATCTCTCTCCCGTTGCCCCGATTTACAAGTATGGCGGTGTCTCCTTGTCAAATATTTTGGCAACCACTTGCCAGTATGAGGTTTGTGTGGCGCTCTTCACTGGGACTTTTAAAGTTTTCCTTTGTCCAGGCTTTGAAGTACGTTAGCTTTCCTGTGCAAACGCTGGGAAAGTCTGCCAAGATGATCCCTGTGATGGTAAGTGATCCTTCTTTTTTTAACTCTGGATGAGTTGCTTCTTTTAGCTGTTTCACAGATTTGGGGAACTTTGATCATGCAAAAGAGATACGGTTTGCGGGATTACTTGCTGGCGCTTTGCATCACAGCAGGTGCTGCAGTCTTTCTCCTGTATGGTGTATGAGCTCTCTTTTCTCCTCCCGAGATCGTTGCTCTGATCGGGTTTTTCTTTTCCAGGACGGGGCTCAAACGAAAAGCTTGAGTGGAGGAGAGAATTCTATCTGGGGACTCGCTCTCATGGCCGGCTATTTGGGGTACTGCCGCTAATGCGCATTTCATGATACCAAGTTGGTTCGTTCGTGATGTGCAGTTTTGACGGGTTTACGAGCACATTCCAGGACAAGCTTTTCAAAGGCTATAGTATGGAAGTGTTCAACCAGATTTTGTACGTGACGCTATGCTCCTGTGCTCTGAGTACTTTTGGTAAATGCTCGCTTTTCCACGCATTTCGCTTAGACTAAAGTGGTGTGGTGGAAATGCAGGACTCTTGACCCAAGGAAACTTGTTCCCAGCTCTTTCCTTTATTAGCCGCCACAGGGATTGCTTCTTCCATGTTTTCCTTCTGTCTTTGGTATGTTACCGCTCTTTCACGTCTAGACTTTTGGTCTCCTTTGACAGGCGGCCACCGCCAGCCAGTTCTTCATCAATCACACCATTAAGACGTTTGGAGCGCTCACGTTTGCCATTATCATGACCACCAGACAGGTGCACTATCTCACATTTAATGATCTCTATGAAATCATTCTTCCTCCCTTGCAGCTGGTGAGCATCTTGTTATCGTGCTTGTGGTTTGCTCATCCCTTGAGCTGGAAGCAATGGTTAGGCACGGTAAGTCAGCCTTTTTTCGTTACCGGCAGAGCCTTTTATTTACTTCTTACTTTTTCGTGTGCAGCTTTTGGTGTTTGGATCGCTGTACTACAAGTCGTACGCTGGAGCGACTGATCGAACGAAACAAGCGGTCAAAGAGCCAGAGAGTGTGGAACTACAAGGCAAAACGGACACTGCTCAACAAGTATAGCATCTCTCAAGAGAACTTACATTTTTCGCGGGAGTAATATTTTACAAGGCTGTAACGCACAGGACAAGAGCTCCTGATGTTGTTCAGCTACACGGCTTTGGTATCCTCCTGGTTCGTGGAGAGAGCGGCACAAATCTCAGTGACATTACAATTTGTACCGGCGGTTCGAGCCCTCTAAGATATATGACCAGTTTAGCATACATAACGAGAACGAAGAAAATTTATACCTCCAGCAGTGAAATGTAGTAGAAATCTTCCATGTGTTGCATCAGGGCGGTTCCATCCCTGAGAGTTCTCAGCATCGCAATCTCGGTCTGGATGAGCTTGTTGATTAGCTGCTTCTCTCCTTTCAGCTGGATCAAGCGAAAACCTTTCAGGCAAAGTTGAGAAAAACGATAGTTGCTTACGAACTCTCCTACGATTCCACCGGGTGTGGCTTCTCCAATGACATCCTCCTCGAGCTCGCTTGTCTTCTGTGAAAACAATCAAACTTTAAGTTTTGTAGTTTTCAAGATGGAAGAATGCGTCTACCTCTAAACTGGACAAGTAGATTGCCTGAGCAACATGGCAGTAACCCATGAGCCGAGGCACAGTGGGAATAATATCACGATGGTTGACAATGCGCCAGCTATCCTTGATAACCTGGTAGGATTTCGAGTTCCAAGTGATTGAGTTTACAGTACCAAGCTGTGACGCACCTTGTTGTACTGGTCAGCGAATGCTCTGTTTCCCACCCGTGGAGAACCGAAGTTGTACATTGAGAGATTCACTTCCTTCTGTCTGATGTATAGCATAAAAACGAAGACCGGATATGAGTTTCCATGAAAAAAAACGATAAGAAGTACTTGAACATCGTCTTAGAAAGATCCTTCGCCAAAAGTGTTGCCAGAGCGCCGCCCAGGCTATGCCCGGTGATATAGATATGCCATTTTGATAGCTCTGCATCACCAGCTTCGTCATTCCTGCGCAACACAAGAGATAACACTTAAGGATGAAGCTTGCAGAAAACCTGCTAGTGATGGATGCCTTGATAATAGACAAAAGCCGATGCCTGACAGAGTCGTAGGCTGTTAGAAAACCAGTATGCACCTGTTATAGAAAAGATGAAGCCTTGTTCTATAAAATACAGCCACCTTACCATTATCTCATCGTCCGAACCACCATCAGCAACACGTTCTGGATTAAAGCTGCAGGAAGGACCATCAATCCAGGCACTTCCGTAAAGGAGAAAGAAAATCAGCTCACCCGGTGGGGGCTAGCATCAGATCTGTTGCCAAGTCTCTCCACTTATCCTGAAAAGGAATAAAGTTGATAGACAGCGACTTAATGAAAGAAAAACCTGCTCAGTCCCGCGGAAAGCTACGACGAGTCTTTTGCCACGAAGATCACGCCATACTGCAACCTGTACAGAAAGTTACGCTTCTTTTCAAGTTCAACAGAGGCTTGCCTGCGTGTCTGTGTTCTTGCTTTCTAGGAAGCAGATCTTCTCGAATTCGGATCTGACAAAACTCGTCCGCCCGAGCGACGTCGACAAGATTGCCCAAGCTTCCATCGCGGTCTCTGCTCGTTTAAACATCTTTCGCATTTTTTCCCGTTGAGAAACATCTAGTAGAGGCGAATTCTGAATGACTTCTGCGGCATCATTTGGCTTATCACTTCCAGTACTTCGTCCGATAGCCAGCATCAACAACGAACCGAGAGTTTCCTCCACACGTCCTGAAATGTTCAGCAACGTCTCCTTAACCTCGGGAAGGACCGCCTCTGCGATACTTTCGGACTCCTCACTGCTCGGATGAACTAAACGTTTCTCTAAGTAGTGCGCTTCAGCTCTAGCCTGTAGCTCTAATCCCGACTCCTTCAACGTGTCATGGTCTTCACCATGAAAATTCCAGAGACTTGAAGGGTGCAAGTCAAAACCACCCAGGCAGTTCTTCATAGCATTTGCTACGCTGTTGATCAAGTCTGCCCCGTTGGATGATGCTTCTTGGTATGTTTCATTAGCAGCTGATGTAGAAGGCAAGAGGTGTAACGAACCGATCGTTGAGCCTACGAAGTCCTGGACCTTTATCCCGTCCGGGCCAAGGACCGACGTCAAAACGTTTCCGATGCCTCCTTTGATCAAGTCGGACAGAAAAGGAACTTCCCACACGCTATTCTCTCCATCTATATCAGCAAAACTCTTGTACTGGACCTGGATATACATATTCAATAGTCAGGCACTAATTCGAGAAAAGAAACATCTGACCTTGAGATAAAGTGACCCACCACCTCCCATGCCTTCCAATTGCATTTCGATGTCATGAGCCGTTCCTGTACGCATTACGCATTACAAAACAAAAAGAGAAAACAGTAGAATGACTCCTACCATCACACAAAGTGCTGAGCTCAACTTCATAGTTTCCTAATCGTTTGTGCACGCTTAGAATATTAGCATCCCACACAGCAACCTGCGAATAAGCTGCAACATTAGCCGACATCGTTTTTGAAAATTCTACCTTCAAGGACTGCGTCAAAGGATCAGCAACATTTAGAACATGTGTTTCATTCCAAACAGGGTCTTTTGTTCTGCGCGGACAAACATACTTAACAATATTTCGAGGAAGTTTTCACTTACGCCCATGCCGTTTTGCTCTGCTTAGCACAATTTCCTATTCGAAGCCACACGTAAGGATCACTTGTTCCCTGCACTTTCATTGTCGATCAAAAAGAACCCAAGTACACCATACCCAAAGATCAAGCCCTGGAAGACTGACACCTTTTTCCAGTTTAACCGTAAGTTGTCCGTGATACAGTTCACGCATGAGACCACTGCATCACACAGCTCAAATGAAGAAACGTCCAAGAACAATTCGATAAGTTACGTACTCGGACATGTAAGTAGTCTCGCAGCTCTGTCCATCCGTCTCGCGAATCCCAACGTTTGGCTGGAAGAACGGTGCCGAGAAGTTCAAGTTAGAACAGGAGAGAACATATACTTGCAAGCTTACAAAGGAGCAAGAGAAAAACAAATTCGCAGGCTTACAAAGGAGAAAAGAAAAATCGCAAGCCTCCAAAGGAGCAAGAGAAAGAACAAAGAACTCGCAAGCTTACAGGAGGAGAATTGTAGGACTCGAATGCGAATCCAGCCAGCATCACCGCGAGGTCGAGGTTAAATTTGGCACGATCGTCCTCGACGAGAGAGCCGCCGGATTCCTCAGCGTCATCGATCCCGATCAAGCGCTTGCGATGCTCAAACCTATCTTGGATCCAGGACTTGATGTGTTCCAGCTGAATCCCTTGGACGAAAACCACAGGGCCGCAACATCGCAGCGCGCTCCTGGGGCGATATTGCGATGCCTTCGCGCTCCAGATCGAAGAGCGCTGCCGCAGATTGATCAATGCCGTGCATTGCGCCTCGAGCGCCATAGCCATGGCGCTTTCCAGAGACGGGAACGAGTACCTGATCAACCTTGTCGACTCTCCCGGGCACGTGGATTTCTCCTCCGAGGTCATCGCTAGGCCCACGCCGCCAAAGAATTTTCTCGATGCAAGGATTTACATACGTGGATATTCTCTCTAACGGGCCTGGAATTTAGGGCTCCTCGTGATGGCGATGGCGCCTGGCTGGGGCGTGGCAAATTCCAGACAGCTGCTCTGCGCGAGGGCGCAGCTAGATTACGATTTCGCCGCCAGCGAAGGGAATGCGATGCGCGAGGCCAGGCTCTGGGATCTGGTGGCGTCGCGGATGAGCTTCCAGTGCAGCGGCCGCGAATGCGAGCGCGAGTGGAGGGCGCTGGTGTCGCGGTACGAGGTCAGTTATATCTCTAGCTCTAGGAATCTCGCGCTGGATTGATCGTTCTTAGAGGATTTCTTTTCAGTGTAGGAGAAAGGATTGCAAGAAGGAAATGCTTCCCTGTTTGAGGAAATCGACGCCATATTTAAGTCACGCGGAGAAGAGGTTATGGTTTTCACGCATTCCGAGGAGGAATCCGTGAGCATCGACAGTCACGAAGACGGTGAGAGCGAGGCCGAGAGAGACGTCCAGCAGGTCTTGGAGGATATGTTCCATCGAATGCCTTGCGTGCCTCCGGGGTGGCTGTGGCAAGAAGGAATGATGGCGAAGGAAAAAAATGGAGATACAGGTCTGGACGACGAGGAGCACCATCCAGCTCTCTCCTCCAGCGCTGAAGCATCGACCCAGTGTAAGCAAGAGGGCGTGGAAGAACGCATGCCTCGCTGGGGACACACCGAGACCAAGGACTTCATTTCCATCAGAGCGGACATGGAGGAGGATCCATCGCTTTCTTCTCAGAAGAATTGGTGGGATCCGATCGCGGGGAAGATGAGAGAAAGAGGCTACGCGAGAACCAGCGAGCAATGCAAGCGCAAGTGGAAGAAGCTAGTCAGTCGTTATAAGGTGAGTGAGAGTATGCAGAGATTTGCTGCGCTTCGCAAACTTATGCACGCAATTCCAGGAGAAAAGAACGACCGGTTTGGAGCACGGGCGGAAGTTCCTCTTCTTTCCGGACATGGACGAACTGTTCAAGGCGAGGCTACAGAGGACCGAGACAGCAGAGAAGGGACCAAAGGAATCTCTCGAGGAGAACCAAGCGGACTCAGACCAGCTGAGCGAGGACGCCGATAGTGCGGAGGTGGTAGAATTTCCGAGGAAGAAACGGAGAACGGATGGGATGCATCAGGTGCTGTCCGACTTCGTCGCCAAGCAGCAAGCCGTGGAGAGGCGGTGGCAGGAGTTGCTACAGAGAAAGCAGCGAGAGTGGCAGCAGCGGGAGCACGAGTGGATGAGTGGAATGGAGAAGCTACAGCAGCAGCGGATGGCAAGAGAGGCGGCCTGGAGGGACCGCGAGGAGCAGCGCCGCGCTCGCGACGAGATTCGTGCACAGAAATGGGACAAGCTGTTCGCGGTACTGGCAGACAGGCTACAAGCGGACGACTGACCTTTCTCAAAGCAGAAAAGGTATTTTTTTCTATCTTTTCTCCTGTTCTTCGTACATTGCAAAAGTCTATACATGCGGGCTTGAGCTGGAACAACTCATCGCAGGTCACCAACGCGGAAAAATCTGTCAGGGAAGCATATCTTTTCGGGCGGAGTCAAAAAGTATCCGTGGCTCCCTCCGACCCCGAAGAAAGAAAGCGAAGCTATGACATGGAAGTCTCGTCAAGTGGGGCTCGAAGAAGTTACAGCTCTTTCAGCAGAGGAAAAAAATACAGAGAAGTTTGGTCCGGGATCAGCAGTCGTCGCGTATCACCTTTCTCAGCACAGCTTCGACCAGCTCGTCTCGCTTCCGGGACCGTACCTCGTCCCGCAGTCGCCGCTGTTCTTCGCGTTCCCACCACGCCTGCTCCCGCAGCGCGCGCTCCTGCTCCAGCTTCTCCATGCACTCCCGCCACTCGTGCTCGCGGGCTCGCCTCTCCATCTCCCGCTGCTCCAGCGACACCCGCCACTGCTCCTCGTTGCGCTGCTGCTGCTGGAAAAACTCCTCCAGCACCTCTTGCATGCTGCTCGCCCTCGACTTCTCGGCGGTGGCTCGCTGCCTGTCCTTGTCAACTTTGCGCTTCCTCGGCCGCTGCTGTTGCTGCTGCTGCTGCTGCGACTGGCTTGCTGCTGCTACTTGGATTTGCTGCTGGAGCTGATGTTGTTGCTGCTGCTGCTGCTGCTGCTGCTCTTGATGGTGGTGCTGGAATGGCTGGAGCTGCTGCAAGTTCCTGTTGTCGTCGTCGCTCTCTTCATCGTCATCTTCGTCGTCGGTTTCCTCGTCGGACAGCAGGCCTTTGAGCTTCTTGAGACGCTTCTTGGGCCTCAAGCCGTCGGACTCGAGCATGAGCATGCTCTTGGACCGCTCCTTGAAGATGGCGTCGAGCTCCTCGTAGAACGGGCATTGCCTCCCATTGTCGGGCTCGGATATCTCCTTTCCCTGCAGCAAAGAGTGGTTTTCAAGATCCGAGAAGTTGGCAACGAAGCGAGACAAAATCGAAGAACCTTAAAACTCGAGAAGGGAGATCGAAGAAGACTAGAACGATCGAAGAAGACTAGCAAAGAAACACTTGACAAGATCCAGAGAAGATCGTCACTGGAAGAGAACGAAGAACAAAGAAGAGGAGAAATCCAAAAACGCGGCGCGAGAGTGGAAGAGAAAGAGAAAAACAAATCCCAAGAGATGGATGGATTGAGGAGAAAACGAGAGGAACCGACCTTGTAGCGATTGACGAGGTTCTTCCACTTGCACTTGCACTGATCGGCGCTCCGGCGGAAGCCCTTGTCCTTCATCCGCCCGGCAATGAGCTCCCACAGCGTCTTGTTGCGCTTGGTCTGCGTGAACTCCCTCTCAAACTCGGCCCTAATTGCAATGAATTCCTTCGTCTCGTGGAATCCCCACTGTGGGATCCGCTCCTCCTTCCTCCGCCCGCCCCTCATCATCGCAGCTCCTCCTCCTCCACCACCACCGCCGCCGCCTCCATCGAGAATGCCGCCGCCCACAGCGATGGACGGTGGCTGCTGCAAGGGAATCACGATGCCATCGCCGAGCAGGCTCGACATTGCCTGGTGGAACGCCAGCTTTGAATCAATCACGCCACTCCTCTGCCCGGGCTTCCTCGTGCCCTAAGTTATTTTACCGTGGGGAGGGAGGAGGCCAAATATTCCGTCGCAGCCGCGTGGCACATTCCGCCGCGCCGCCGCCACGGCACCGACGGAATATGCCCCCACGGTGACAACCGTACGATGCGCTCGTGGGACCACGGTACGGTGGCGGCCACAGGCAGCGTTTTTCCGGTTACCAGTCTGTATCGCGTCGATCTTCTGGTAGGAAAGCTCGCGATTTTATTCTCTCCTCTGAGAACACACTTGAATGGCGTCTTAAAATCTCCATCCACATAAACCATTCGCTTGCTTGCATCGGATAATCCATCACGCAACGCGCGCAGGTGGTCACTAACATTTCTTTCGTCCAATCGTCGTCACAATGGAATGCTGAGAGTTTGATGAGAGACGAGGAATGGGGCAATTAAAGTTCCGCCCAGGCCGCAGAGAGAGATTACCCTCGTTGGTTTTTCACAGTCCTACCTAGATGATAGTTTTAATTTTCAGTCGTCATCCAACACGTTCCTGCGTCGTTGTATCTGGAAGAGATGCGCGGAACCGAGTTAGAAAATCTCTGGTTTTATCAAGAAAATACTGTGTCTTTGAGGGAGGGAGGGACTTACAGTGACTTTGGTTGTTTTCTTAGTTTGCTCGTTGATTTGCTCCAGCAGTTGGATGAGTCTCTCCTCGGAAACCTGGCAATGCAGAGTGGAAGAAAAAATACCTTTTTGAGTAGTTTTGATATGTAGTTACCTTCTCGGTGATCTGGCCCCGCTGAGCGCTGTGAAGAATCAAGTCCTCCACGCCTTTTGCCTTCTCCGGCTTGACGAGTGCAATTCGCGAAACTAGAAGAACACGAACAGGTTTTAAACGCAAACAAAATGGAAGTTTCTTTTTCTTTTCTTTATTTTCTGTTTTTCTTTTTGTTTTTTTTTTTTTTTTTTGACAACTTACGTCGTTCGCGAGCCTCTGGGAGAAGCACTCGAGCTAGCATCATTTGTCTCCGCTCGGCTGCTTCTCTGGAACACAACTCTCGCCAATGAGCAGCAGCAAAAAGAGAGAGACACACACACAAAAAAAAAAAAAAAGATTTTTGAGAATGTAACTTTACCTCTTTTGCTCCTCTTGAGCTTCCTGCTGCTCCGCGGATTGTTGCTGGACAAAGAACAACGCAAATCATACAAATGGCATCAGTAAATCTAGAAAACTCACGCCTCCTCCTCTCTGGGCCATTAACTCTTGCATCCTCTTCCTCTTGATCGCCTCCAGCTCCGGATCGTCCTGCAAATGAGCCATAAGAACCCTAGATTGGCAAAACCCAGAAACGATATCCCGGATTCATGGCCAATTCGCGCGAGAGAAAAACTCACCATTGCTGCAAAACCACGAACAACTCCAACCCCGCTCCAACGCAGGAGTTTTTACAAGCTACCTAAGAAGTGAGCACTATTTAAGTAGAGCGCGCTAGAGCCGTCGGATGCATCTAGATGAGCGCCCCAGATCACTTCTAGTTTCTAGTGACCAGATTTGCACAAACGTACTTGCACTTTCTTCACACAGAGCTTAGAAAGAAATAAAAACATCCAGGGATGGCGCTCGAATCCCCGGCTTGGGCGGGAGCTTCTTTGATCGCCTGCATTGCATGAAAGTAGAGAGCTTTTCTATGGGAAAATCTGTCGCGGATCACACAGATATTAGATTATATCGATGTGTGTGTGACGATCGATCAATCGAACTTGTAATGCTTGTCAACTGGCGAGTAGACTTCCCAGGTGCAACTCATCCCTTTGGGGAAGACGACCAGGTTCCCGGCGCCAAACTCCACAAAGTCGGAGGATCCCTCGGGGAAGACGCGGACTTTGCCTTTGAGGAGGTAGCACGTCTCCTCCGCGTCGTACGTCCAGGGCAGCTTGCTCGGAGGGCATCCCCATCTGGAAAACGAAACCGCAAGATCGTCGTATGTTTCTCAACCAGTAGATAGAAGAACAAGAACAAGAAGAACGGAAGAAGAAGAAGAGAAGAATGTTTTCAACTTGGATCGTTTAGGCGGAAGAGGACGGCAGATTAAACTCAGTTTGTGAGAACTTGCTGGAGCGAGAGACTATAGCGGAAACGCGCAGGAGAGAGTCTCTGGAGCTTGGTTTTTTTCTGGGACACGACTGCAGGCTGTCCTGCAGAAAGAAGTAACAAGAGAATGAGAGTGCAGGAGATCGATATAAGCTCTCGGTTTTCCAAGAAAGTTGGAAGAACCCCGGTGCCAGGGGAGAAAACACACAGCAGCAACAAGTGGTTGCTTCATGTTGGCTCTCTGGTTAGTGTGATGCTTTTAGACACTCCTACTGGCATTGAAATGGAATCCAAGCATTGAAAGGCGGAGAAGAAAAGAAAGTAGCTTACTTCGGCCACGACTTGACGCCCAGCTCCAGCAATCGCTGCTCGGATGGCTTCCGCTCGATCCGAATTCCCAGCTTCTCCTCCACCGCGCTTGTTTGCACGCTGCTTTCCATCCAAAACGATCACTCTCGCACACACACACGCGAACGCGAATAAAAAACGCTTGCAAATCCAAACGCACTCGAGACACAATCTTAGAAATGCGCTCTCCAAAGAATCAGGAAGTATCGCAGCGCAAGATCGAGCAAAGCAGCGAAGCCATAGCTCCCACCGCGAGGATCTTTTATTTTTGCAGCTACCCACAAACAACCTCCCTCCCTTGCGTCTCGTCTTTGACTAGGCGCCAACGCGAGCCGGGATCGACGCCTCCGGCGGGGCCACGTGTCACGCGCGCACACGCGTCCACCTCGCACTGGGGGCCACCCCACACCCGCCTGTGGCCGCAAAGCTTGTGGCATTTTCACGTTTATCACTGCCTAGATCCTTCCAGTATCTTATCCCATTGACCAGTCAAAGCCAGACCGTTAGTCAAAAGAAGGGGATTTTTACTTTATGGACGGGCGACCGTACAGGCCCTGACAGCCACAGGCACCAGTGCCGTGTTCGATTCCCATCCACTCTCTCCTTCCTTTCCAGAAATACGCGTATTTTCTCGTCTGGAAGAGCAAAAGAAAGAAAAAAGCCTTGAAAAAAGACGGGAGTGAGAGATGTAAGAGGTACCTCGCTACGGAGCTTACACACACCAAGCTTTTTTTTTTTGGTTGTTTCCAACTTCGTAGGATTGCGCTTGGAGCAATCACTCTTCAGTGGTGACCACTCATGATCAATCATTTTCCGGGTGATTGTTTTGAAATGACCACTGCGCGCACTGCTCCCCGAAAGCGTCCTGCGGAGTAAACAGTCCAACATGTGAGTGACCTCATAGTTTAAGAGCGCTGGGCCGAGAAAACAATCACTGAAAATGAGAATTCCTTCCAAAAGTACCTCCAGTGCGATTGCCGAGGCGAGAATTCATGCACAAACAAATCCCTCCCCAATGCAAAGCACCTGAGTTTCGTTTTGGTAACTTCCTGCTGGAAATCATTCCACAGGTTTTCTTATCCTTCGGCCACTAGTATTTTAACACCTTCAAACTGTTGACATAAGTGTACCTCGAGAAGATGACAAAAAGCTTGCGGTACCTGTGGAAAACACAAAAAGAAGTTACTAGTAATACTAGAAAACTAAGAGGAAGGGAAGGAAGGATTCACAAATATTTGCTCGCCTACCATATCCACTGGCTCCTGTGCTGTCGCATGGCTCTAGCGTTTGTCCACGGCCTCTGGCTATAAAAGCAGTGGTGCTTGGAAGGATCCCGTAGGTGCTGCTCTATTAGCGAAATGCATACATCCAGAGGACCGAGAAACTTTCGCAGCAAAGATGAACTTGCCTGCCAGGAAGGAAAGGGAAAACAATAACAAAATAAAAAGTATTCAGCAAAGATGAAGAGGACCAAAGAGAAACGCTTACGAGCTGCCAAGCTTCCACAACAGGATCTTTGTTGGACTCTAGTTGCAGCAGCAAAGCACTGAAAAAGAAACAAAGAGCGGTCGTAGAAATTTGTTGGAAGGAGGCAGAATTTCCACCCACCAAATAGCATGATGCACTGAGCGATGGTTGGGGTGTCCCGAAATACCATACGAGTCAAAAGTAATAAGCTGAGAAAAAAACAAAGATAGTCGCACCTTTGAGAAAAGAATATGATCGCTTACTGTTGTGATCTTGTGATCCATAATGCGCTGTTGTACAACACGCCTGATCAATTCTATATCCCAACGCTCCGCAAAACCATCCTAGTAAACCAAAAAGCCCATCTCAGCAAACAAAACTCTTTCAGCAAATCAAAATCTTATGGTTCAATCGAGACTTACTTGAAGCTCCGGTACGTCCATCACTTCAACGTTTCCGAGCGGCACCTAGACAAAAATTCTATCAGCTCCCTTTCAAACATACAACAAGACATGGCAGCAGAAAAAATAAATAAGCAAAGATGAAAAGAAGAACCTTACTTTCAGCACCAAACACGCAGCAAGAATTTCTTCCTTTCGCTGCCAGCCTCTGCCGTCCACATTCCCTACAACACACACAAACCCGTCAAAGTATAGAAGATTTTCCAAGCCGCCAAACCTGAGGAGAGGCAAAGGACTCTAACATTATAAGCCCCAGTGGACGCCAAACCCAAAAGCGTGGGTCCAAAGAACCTGCCAAGGATCTCCGCATTAGCACAAATCCCAAGTATCAAACAATCTAGCGAGATCTTACATCGATTCATCATCCGGATGAGCAATCACAAGCAAAACATTTCTTTTCCTAGCCGCATTGGTACCTTGGGGCAGCGAGCGCGGCGAAAAGAAATAGCCAGCGACCGGCAAGCTCAGCAGCACTAGCAGCAGCACCGATCCGGACAAGATCGCCAGCGCCACGCCACCAGCAACGTCCAAGAGCGCCATACTTCTTGAAAACCCTAGAACTCTGTGATCTAAAGAAAAGTTTGCATTGATCAATTGGAGACAGGCTTGAAGAGAACTATGTCCACATTGTCATGCACTCCCTGCAAGAGGAGCTCTCCATCGTACGTAAGGAGCTTCCTCTTCTTGGCGGCCCTCAGGGTTCCAACCAGCGCCTCGAAGAGATTGGCACACCGATCGTCGTTGAAGAGGATTCCAAATTTCACCTGGGCATAGATCCAGAGGAATTCCAAGCTATAGCGAAATCAAAGATTGGAATGCTTACGACGGTGGATCCATCGGGCAGGACCGTTCCCAGGCGCTCGATCTCCAGTCGCAAGCGACCCACCTCTTCCTCCACATTCATCTCGCGAGAATGCCGGTGACCTAGGGAAAGTTTCCCTCTTTCTTTTTTGGAGCTCTGCAAGAGCACTCCAGTGGCTATACTGGACTCAAAGTTGAAGTCGCGTCGAAGTTGGCGACTTGTTCCTGAGCGAGAGTCGATTTCCACAATCTCATCCTTGATAGATGTGTTTGTTCTTGTCTGGTTTCTCTGGCGATGTGCTCTCCTTGGACAAATTGGACGAATGAAAAGCACGCCAACAGCCATGAAAATTGATATCACCCAAGACATGAGAAAATCAGCCTACTTCACAAGAAACAAAAGAAAAAAGACGATCTTGCCGTAAATACAGCAACTCAACGGTCTAAGATCTCGCCACGTCATTAAGCCACCAGAGGGCAAAGATTGTGCCACGTCATGAGGGTTGAGATTTTTGCCTTTTTTTTTGAAAAGAAAAATGGCTCGTCCGCGCCAAATGCTTACAAACACGCCATGGTTTCTTCGTTCGTGTGAAGAACCCTAGGAAAGAAGGGGCGCGTGCGCGCGCGCTGGATCTCTCCCTCGCTCTCCCTCAAGGTATGGCTCCCCAGATGCGGCTCCACTGCCGGTGCCAGAAATGCACGCTCGGGGGATTGATCCCGGAGGGCACGATCGTGTGCCTCAGCACATACAGGAACCACGAGAAGGGCAAGGGGGTGACACGCAAGAAGACTCACAGGCTTCCCTGCCACAATGGCCAGGAGATTATCCACTGCAAGTGCCCGCTGTGCGCCATCGACTTTGGCGCCGCGGGGCGCCCCTTCACCACATCGGGATTGCTCCTGCACCTCCGCCGCAACCAGGCACGGATCGACTGCTCCAAGGAGAGGAGCGCTGCCAATCGTAGCAGCGATCCGCGCGCCACTGCCACTGCTGCTGTTGTTGCTCCAACGATTGCCGCGGCAACACTAGATCATGATCTTGGTGATTCGCTCGACAAGCCCGACGAGCGGGAGATCAATCGGTTCGAGGAGAAGCGGTTGCTTCGTCCCAGTAGCCCAGAATCGTCCTGCGGGTCTAATTGATTTTTGCCTAGGTAGCTCAGTCCAGGCAAAAACTTTTGGCCTAGGCTAGAGTTTCTCTGTCCATTAGAGTGTTTATTGTCTCATAAGGTCTTGTTAGCTTTCTTTTGATATAAATAACAATTCTTTGTCCAGGATAGCCTCTGGTTATGGCGGTGGCCGCTTCTTCCCTGCCGTTCTCGTCGCACAGGGCACCCGGCGCAATGCCTCAATATTCTTGCAGCGCCAGTGCTCCAGTTCCATTTTCCCGCCCCCCATCCTACATCGAAATTTCTGGCGAAGATCTTGCTCTAGCAGTGGACAATGAGCAGGAGCTAGGGCTTTCTAGCTGCTCTAAACTCCACCGGCGATTGCTTCTTGAATCTGGATGAGTCGATCATGGTGGACATCAGCTCGCTGTCGAGCTGGTTGCCAGAGGATGCTCCCGCGCAGGGATTGCTAAAGCAGCTGTCGGAATTCATGGTCTACGAGGCTGGGAGAAGATTATCCTCGCAATCGAGTGGCTCTTGTACGAAGTGGTGGTAGGTGGAGGTAAGTTCTTCTTTCACTAGTTCTTACTTCCTTGGCATTCTCTGTCTTCTATGATTCTTCAGACTTTTCATCGCTTTCATTGTTCTTGCTTACTTATGCTAAAGATTTCCTGGCGGGCTCCACTCTAGGCCTTTTGAGAGTTAGTTTATTTAGCTAAAAGAGGTATACAAAATTGAATGATATATGTTATGATCGTCATAAATAAATCCACACATCACATGGCCGCATGAGCTATAAATTTTGTATGCCAAAGAAAATAAGCTCAAGCATGGATCACACGTCAAATAGTAAGCCCATATAGAACTTTACAAGTTGAACTTGTTAATGGGATTGAAATAGCCGGACAAGATAGACAAAATAGTTAAGAAAGATGTAGTTAGCATACGAGCTTTACCTCGCGCTCGGCAACTTAGGTAGTATATAACGAGAGCACTAACACAGCATTGGTGTTGTTTGTTCCTGGATCGAATTCTTTGTTTCTGATCTCCGTTAGTAAGAAGGTAAGAAGGCTTCCACTAAGCTTGCTCACAAACTAATCCATATAGCACTGCAGGAGGAGGATGGACGATGCGTACATCAATGTGCCGAAACTTGCCAACAAGCAAGTCTATGGCTATAAAGCTGAAAGAGGAAGTGCCAGCAGCGCATCTGAGATGGAAATCATCGATACATGACGCTGCTCAGTGACAATGGTAACTACGTGCGTGTTCACTACACAAATGGTTGCAGCTCAACAGCAAAACTGCAAACCAAGACACCATGTTCGAGGTAACCCAACGTGAGCATTCAAATGGTTAAGGTTGGGAAGTTCTGGAGGGAGATTCGAGCCTGGAGAATGCCAAAAAAAGCAAGAGTTCTCACTTCGAGCCTGTGAAGATTGGAAAGAACGTTCTGGCTTTAAGATCGATCGAGAACAGAAGGTTCGTCAACAGGCACACTGACTACTGGAAGGACTCTCTAAACACAGCAGTTGCAAATCTGAACAGAGAACAGAGTGCTAGGTTTACTGTGAGCAAGCCAGTGGGAGCCCGGAACTTGACGAACATCAAGTACCTCCTTGAGCTAGCTGAGATGTCAGAAGCAAGTTCAAGACTGCCATGCGAGTGCTTGTGAACGTCCAGAGAATGGAAGAGACCTGGGGTCAGTGGTCAGTGGACCTATGGTGAGTTCCATATTACCCTCAATCCGTACTACTAAAACAGACAATGGGAAGAAGGTTGTAAAGGCTGTACAAGTCCAGACATCTTACACAGCCAAGGATGTGCCAGGATCAGGAACTAAGGTAATTATTGTTCAGATTACCACTAATTGATAATTCATTGCTTTGGATTGTGATTATCCAGGTAAAGGTGGAAGTTCGGTGCCAAATGAAAGTGTAAAGTGCCTTTCACTTACATCGAGAGGAGTGCTTTGAAGGATGGAGTTGAGGTGCCTGCAGTTTATATAGCAATCAATTTGGAACCCAGCACCCATAGTTGCTTTTTTAACTGGTTTATCCAGTATGAGTTTTGTACAAATTTGTAGAATTTTGTATGTTTTTGCTAGAATTTACTGTCTGTTCAATATATATGCAATATGCACCATCTGATCAAATTTGGAAATCTAACAAATATTTTCATTGAATGGATGAAAATTTTCTATAGCCGCATTAGTCTTTGAAATAGGCAATTTTGACAATGCAAAGAACTAATGAAAACTTTTATTCCCCTCAAATAGTTTTCCCTCCAAAAAAATATTATTCTTGAAGGGTTAGAATTTTTTCCATGTTAGCAAACTTCAAAATTCTTGAGAAGCACAGTTTATGATCTTTTTGCTGTAAACTCCTCTTCTCTAAACTATATATTTGCTGCCATTTTCTAATGAGGCAAACTATGAAAGTTTTTATAATCCTGACAAATTACTTTAAATAGTAACACTAATGGAGAAACAACAATCTTAGATATATTGTGGTGGAGATATTAAGGAAGTTGTACCTTTTCTCTTTAATGTGTCTTTACCTTTTTTCCTTATAACTATACTTCATTTGCATAAAGTAGGTATGGTTACAAAGGAAAAAAGTAAAGATATATAAAAGAAAAGTGGTACAATTTCCCTAACATCTCCATTATAAGTTTTGGCTTTTTTGAGAAAACCCTTGCCATAACTCTTAATTGTCATTTTTAGATGGTATGCTATTTTGTGGTGGAAATATTGAGGAAGTTATAATCTCAATATAAAATGTGATTTCCGTAACGAACCAACAAAGTTGAATTTGAGATTAAATATAAGCTTTTGATGTTTTAGGAAGTCATTTAACTTAGTAGTACTCAAACCCAATAATGCTTAATCACAAGTATTTCAATTACATTCTTCAAGAAAAATATTTACTTCAATCAATATATAACCTTTGAGTTGGATTATTCATATCAATTATCTCCTCATTAATATTAATCAGGTCATCAACCTCTATTTGCACTATATATAGACCCTCTTCCTACTCCTCATTTGTGTTTTCATCCTCTTGTTTTGCCTATTTTAAAAAATCTAATAAATTTATTATAATCTTTTAAATTACTTACCTAGTATTGTCCTTTCCTAGTGAGTATGAATAATCACTTTTAAAGCCTTTATTAAATTTTTTTCTACATCTTTTGCTTGTATCCTCTTTTCCATAGTATCTTGGAAAGTTTACTAGTTAACATTGTTATTAATTTATTCCCTCACATACCCCCTAGCAATAGTAACTACCACTTTTTTATTCATCTTTTTGTAAAAAAATTAATTCAAATGTACTAGATATGGAATCCACTTTTCATATCACACCTAATTTATTGCTCTTTTGAAGCTTATGTCCTAAAGAAGGTTTATAATGTTGTCAACTATTTCATTACTTTTTGCTTTCATATTCCTATGGTTAATTCCATCACATTGAGATGGCTTTTCAAGGTTTGTGGTGGAGGCTTAAACATTATCTTGTCTAATATAGTTCTAAAAGTAACCAACTTAAAAGATAAGCCATTAGATGTTGCACATATGACCATCACAGTCAAATTGTGACAGCCACATCAGCAATTTGAAGTGATGTTGCCCTAGTACATGTCACCATCATTGTCATTTTTTTTATGGTGGCCTTATAACGCTGAAATCAATTTAAATGTTTTTCAAAATCATCTTAGCTAGTTAACCACTATCAAACCTGCAATAGCAAGTTAAAATGCTAATATGGTAATTATTTCCTCTTGCCACTATTGCTGATTTGTCAATTTTTGGTTTTAGGGTTGAGTAGAATGGGAGAGTAGCAATTAAACAACTTGGAGATCATGTTTTCCACAATTTTAACAAAAGTTTTTATATGATGGTTATCAATTCAGTAGGGGGAATTTTACTGCTCCCACTCCACTAAAGCCTTCAAAACCAACTAGAAATCAAGGGCATTGGTCTTTGAATGAATTGTTGGTTTTGAATGAAGCAAAGAAGTACAACTTGTTTTTATAGTAGTGAGGCAACATTCAA